ACCCCCCAGCCACACGGTCAGCGCATGTAGCGGTGAGCCGGGATGCCGGGGGGCTGGGTGGCCGTGGGACTCTCGGACCCCCCAGAGGTGTTTGTGCTTTGTAGGGCCGAATGCTGCGACCCAGTGTGGGATGGGCACAGCAAATACCTGCCGCGGTGCCGGCACGGGCCGCAGCTGAGTTTCAGCCAGGCGCTGTGTGGGTTTGCCAGGATGGATCTGGCACCGGGCTTTGCCAGTGGACGGTCCCAAGCCTGCACCCGGGGCATCTCTGACAAGGGGGACGTGCTGTCTGGGGCCACCGCTGCTGCTCCTGCTCTGCCCTGGGGAGCGGGGCCAGCCCAGGCTTGAGCACACTGGGAAGGACGAGGAGTGACCGTGGGGTGGGTGGGAGGTGACAGGGATGTCCCTCGAGGGCTTTGGGAGCGAGGTGGTGCTGCTGGTGCCCGGCTGCTCCCCCAGCGAGGCCGGTGGTGCTGTGCACGTCGCAGGGCCTCGCTCAGCCCTGAGCTTCCTCCTTCACTGTCACTGCCGGCACCTTCTCCTTTCTCTGCACCGAGGTCTCCCCTGGACAAGGGAAGTGCCTTTGCAGGGGTTTTCCCCTGCACTCGCTGCACGTTTTCCTGCTGATGTTTCCTGGGGAGCTGGAGAAAGCTGAGCATTTGCATTCGCCCTGGACCGGTGGCTGTTTGAGGCAGCTCCACCCCAGCAGAGAGCAGACGGGGAGCACGGTGGAGAGCGGTGACGCAGTGACGCGCGGCAGCCACGGCCGCGCCGAGGAATAGGGGGGCCACAAGCACCAGTGGTGCTGGACGGGGAGCCCCGAGCTGCGGGGGAGCCCCTCCGTGATGGGGGTCCTGCTTTGCAAAGAGGCTCTTTCCTGCCATGATGCTGAGCACCCGCACCGCCAGCCGAGGAAGGCCTTTTCAGGGAAGGGCTGCAAAGCTGCTCCGTGGCACACCACCATGCTCCTTGCCCGGTGCCCCGTCACCCTGCCGCTGTCACCGACCTCGGCTCTGTGAGGGGACCGGAGCCCTCTCTGCCCGCGGCAGTGCAGCCGGGTGGGCATCGTGGCCCCGTGCCATGCGCCGGCACCGTGCTGTGCCGGGCGGGAACTGCTGGGAGCGGGGCTGGAGCGGGGCTTTTGCCTCTGTCGCAACGGCTTCGCTTCCCCTCCCTTGGCTGCAGGATGGGTTGCGTGAAGTCGAAGGAAGCTGGTGTCCAAGAGAAGATAAAAACCGACCCTGACCCCAGCCCCAGCCTCCAGCAGGGCCATTACGTGAGGGACCCCACAGCCGCCAACAGGACGGTGAGTGGGAGCTGCTGGCTGAGCTGGGGGCGTGGGACCAAGCCATCATGGGGGGCTCAGCCCCTCTCCTCGCTGGAGCTGCCAGCACTGAGAGCAGAGCCGGCTGCAGGCGCTGACAGTGCCCATGTCCCAGGGCAGGGGGCTTGGCTGTGGGACGGGAGCGCAGAGTCTGGCCCAGCTTGTGCTGGGGCAGGCACAGAGTGAACCTGGTTGGAATCAAAGAATTATGGAAAAAGAGAGAGAAAAGTGAAGATGTTTGGGAGGGGGCAGAAATGCTGGTGCTGGGCAGGTTGGCGAGCCGGGCGCTGCCAGCGCTGCCCCTTGGGTGCCCTCCTGCCCCTGCCGCTCGCTGCTGGGGGCTGGGGCCATGGTGGGGCTGAGACCCCCGTAGGGTACGGGTCTCTGCCACCCACAGCATCACTCCCTGGTTTCTGTCCTGCTTTCCAGAACAATGATGTCCCCGGTGGGGCCGTGCCCCTGCCCGAGT